TTTTAAAACAGTGTATTTAAGCTCTTAAATAAACTATTTTGGCTGGGTGGCGCTCTATATCTTAGGGCCAATAGGAGACCTCGATGCGTTCTTTCCCCTCCTCCTCATTAGCATTCTGTGCAACTAGTGTGACTAGTGCACATTTGGGATCCACTAGTGCTACTAGTGAACATTTTAAGCCTCACTAGTTCACTAGTGGAATTTAAACTTCTCTCACTAGTTAACTAGTAAAAGGCAAAGGGTTCACTAGTTAACGTGTAGACATTTTGAGCCCCACTAGTTAACTAGTAAGGTCAAAAGAGGCGTCAACTAGTTAACTAGTGAACATTTTGCCTTTACTAGTTAACTAGTGAGTGATTCTGGGTGCGACTAGTTAACTAGTGCGCTGCAAAATCTCTGACATGTTAACTAGTTGTGCTTCTTTTGTGTGACTAGTTAACATGTCAGAGCTTTTGCAGCGCACTAGTTAACTTGTAAGACTTTAGGGTCACTAGTACGGTCAGAGGGCCACTAGTTCATCAAAAAGCTTACACGTTGGGACTTTGGCGCTACTAGTGCTGCTCCTGGCGTCACTAGTAAGGCATACGTGTTAACTAGTCGGACAAAAGTGCCACTAGTGGCTGAAAAAGAGCGACTAGTGAAATGTTTTATTCAACTAGTAAAGCAGAGTGCCTGACTAGTTTGACCATATATCTAACAAGTGAAATCAAAGAGCCAACTAGTGTAGTCCGCTGCCGTCTGATATCAAGGAAATTGAATAAATACTCAAATGGCTTGCCATATGGTGGAGACTAGGAGGCAGCACAGCAAACCATGGTGGAGACTAGGAGGCAGCACAGCAAACCATGGTGGAGACTAGGAGGCAGCACAGCACACCATGGTGGAGACTAGGAGGCAGCACAGCAAACCATGGTGGAGACTAGGAGGCAGCAACCATGGTGGAGACTAGGAGGCAGCACAGCAAACCATGGTGGAGACTAGGAGGCAGCACAGCAACCATGGTGGAGACTAGGAGGCAGCACAGCAAACCATGGTGGAGACTAGGAGGCAGCACAGCAAACCATGGTGGAGACTAGGAGGCAGCACAGCAAACCATGGTGGAGACTAGGAGGCAGCACAGCAACCATGGTGGAGACTAGGAGGCAGCACAGCAAACCATGGTGGAGACTAGGAGGCAGCACAGCACACCATGGTGGAGACTAGGAGGCAGCACAGCAAACCATGGTGGAGACTAGGAGGCAGCACAGCAAACCATGGTGGAGACTAGGAGGCAGCACAGCAAACCATGGTGGAGACTAGGAGGCAGCACAGCAAACCATGGTGGAGACTAGGAGGCAGCACAGCAACCATGGTGGAGACTAGGAGGCAGCACAGCAAACCATGGTGGAGACTAGGAGGCAGCACAGCAAACCATGGTGGAGACTAGGAGGCAGCACAGCACACCATGGTGGAGACTAGGAGGCAGCACAGCACACCATGGTGGAGACTAGGAGGCAGCACAGCAAACCATGGTGGAGACTAGGAGGCAGCACAGCACACCATGGTGGAGACTAGGAGGCAGCACAGCACACCATGGTGGAGACTAGGAGGCAGCACAGCAAACCATGGTGGAGACTAGGAGGCAGCACAGCACACCATGGTGGAGACTAGGAGGCAGCACAGCAACCCATGGTGGAGACTAGGAGGCAGCACAGCAAACCATGGTGGAGACTAGGAGGCAGCACAGCACACCATGGTGGAGACTAGGAGGCAGCACAGCAAACCATGGTGGAGAACTAGGAGGCAGCACAGCACACCATGGTGGAGACTAGGAGGCAGCACAGCACACCATGGTGGAGACTAGGAGGCAGCACAGCAAACCATGGTGGAGACTAGGAGGCAGCACAAGCACAACCATGGTGGAGACTAGGAGGCAGCACAGCACACCATGGTGGAGACTAGGAGGCAGCACAGCAAACCATGGTGGAGACTAGGAGGCAGCACAGCACACCATGGTGGAGACTAGGAGGCAGCACAGCACACCATGGTGGAGACTAGGAGGCAGCACAGCAAACCATGGTGGAGACTAGGAGGCAGCACAGCAAACCATGGTGGAGACTAGGAGGCAGCACAGCACACCATGGTGGAGACTAGGAGGCAGCACAGCACACCATGGTGGAGACTAGGAGGCAGCACAGCACACCATGGTGGAGACTAGGAGGCAGCACAGCACACCATGGTGGAGACTAGGAGGCAGCACAGCAACATGGTGGAGACTAGGAGGCAGCACAGCACACCATGGTGGAGACTAGGAGGCAGCACAGCACACCATGGTGGAGACTAGGAGGCAGCACAGCAAACCATGGTGGAGACTAGGAGGCAGCACAGCACACCATGGTGGAGACTAGGAGGCAGCACAGCACAACCATGGTGGAGACTAGGAGGCAGCACAGCACACCATGGTGGAGACTAGGAGGCAGCACAGCAAACCATGGTGGAGACTAGGAGGCAGCACAGCACACCATGGTGGAGACTAGGAGGCAGCACAGCACACCATGGTGGAGACTAGGAGGCAGCCACAGCACACCATGGTGGAGACTAGGAGGCAGCACAGCACACCATGGTGGAGACTAGGAGGCAGCACAGCACACCATGGTGGAGACTAGGAGGCAGCACAGCACACCATGGTGGAGACTAGGAGGCAGCACAGCAAACCATGGTGGAGACTAGGAGGCAGCACAGCACAACCATGGTGGAGACTAGGAGGCAGCACAGCACACCAATGGTGGAGACTAGGAGGCAGCACAGCACACCATGGTGGAGACTAGGAGGCAGCACAGCACACCATGGTGGAGACTAGGAGGCAGCACAGCACACCATGGTGGAGACTAGGAGGCAGCACAGCACACCATGGTGGAGACTAGGAGGCAGCACAGCACACCATGGTGGAGACTAGGAGGCAGCACAGCACACCATGGTGGAGACTAGGAGGCAGCACAGCAAACCATGGTGGAGACTAGGAGGCAGCACAGCACACCATGGTGGAGACTAGGAGGCAGCACAGCACACCATGGTGGAGACTAGGAGGCAGCACAGCACACCATGGTGGAGACTAGGAGGCAGCACAGCACACCATGGTGGAGACTAGGAGGCAGCACAGCACACCATGGTGGAGACTAGGAGGCAGCACAGCACACCATGGTGGAGACTAGGAGGCAGCACAGCACACCATGGTGGAGACTAGGAGGCAGCACAGCAAACCATGGTGGAGACTAGGAGGCAGCACAGCACACCATGGTGGAGACTAGGAGGCAGCACAGCACACCATGGTGGAGACTAGGAGGCAGCACAGCACACCATGGTGGAGACTAGGAGGCAGCACAGCACACCATGGTGGAGACTAGGAGGCAGCACAGCACACCATGGTGGAGACTAGGAGGCAGCACAGCACACCATGGTGGAGACTAGGAGGCAGCACAGCACACCATGGTGGAGACTAGGAGGCAGCACAGCACACCATGGTGGAGACTAGGAGGCTGCACAGCACACCATGGTGGAGACTAGGAGGCAGCACAGCACACCATGGTGGAGACTAGGAGGCAGCACAGCACACCATGGTGGAGACTAGGAGGCCGCACCAGCACACCATGGTGGAGACTAGGAGGCAGCACAGCCACACCATGGTGGAGACTAGGATGGCTGCACAGCACACCATGGTGGAGACTAGAGGCAGCACAGCACACCATGGTGGAGACTAGGAGGCAGCACAGCACACCATGGTGGAGACTAGGAGGCAGCACAGCACACCATGGTGGAGACTAGGAGGCAGCCACAGCACACCATGGTGGAGACTGGAGGCTGCACAGCACACCATGGTGGAGACTAGGAGGCAGCACAGCCACACATGGTGGAGACTAGGAGGCATGCACAGCACAACCATGGTGGAGACTAGGAGGCAGCACAGCAAACCAAGGTGGAGACTAGGAGCAGCACAGCACACCATGGTGGAGACTAGGAGGCAGCACAGCACACCATGGTGGAGACTAGGAGGCAGCACAGCACACCATGGTGGAGACTAGGAGGCAGCACAGCACACCATGGTGGAGACTAGGAGGCAGCACAGCACACCATGGTGGAGACTAGGAGGCAGCACAGCACACCATGGTGGAGACTAGGAGGCAGCACAGCACACCAGGACAACACGGAGGAAAAGGCACAGACAAACTGCATGATATGCTATTCAATGTTTATTGAATTCCAGTATTTGCAATGGATGTTCCTAAAACAACACATTTAACATCATCATCATCATCATCATCATCATCATCATCATCATCATCATCATCATCATCATGCTGCTGCTGCTGCTAGTCCTTTGATAGTCACCTGTCGGTCTCCTGTCCTTTCTGAAAGCCATAAAGATGACATTAGTCATTTAGATAACTTGTGTCCTCAGTTACCATGGTTACTGAAACTACCATGAATTTAAGAAAATGGTAGAAATGAATCTAATCTGAATTTTAAAGCAATACTTTAGATCCCCTCCCTCTAAATGTATCAAACATTAGAAAGTGATGCTCCTGACTACCATACAAGTTTAAGAAGATAATATTGGTTTTAAAGAATTCAAAGCTATAAATAAACAGCAACAGGCTCTTTAACAAGGCACTGCTAGCCTAACATGTAAACTAGTTGTTCACACTAATCCTAATATTATCACTTAATATTAGCAAATTCTATTTTATTTTTAAAAACATATTGATGTAAATACATACACATATCGATTTGTTGTATAAATATTGCAAATCAAAACCTTTATTCACTAATAATTACCAAAAATCGTAGTTCTATCTCCTGTTATCAATGCATTCACATTGCCCGCCATGAACATCCGAGCAGAATGAAGCATGTCTGCATCTTCTCAATCAGGCAGCACAAGATCAGCTTTCACTCCTAGAAAGTCGACAAATTAAACTGAACTAATATGCATTTTCATTTTTGTAAAGCCCTTAGAATTGCCTTGTGTTGAAATGTGCTATAAATAAACTTGCCTTGCTTTCACTTTCGATACACAACCTGAGTGAGCCAGACTTACCAGCAACAAGTGACGCGCCGCTCAGACTGAATTCTCATTGGCTCAGAGGAGCTGGTGTTACCTCTCTTCTGTGTCTCTCTCTCATTGACATCCCGCTCTGCAGAAAGGACGGCTGTGTTTCTGTGGATAAAGAAGCTTTCACACAGAAAGCCTCGATGAAGATGAAGATGTTGCTGTTTCTGCTTCTCCTGGGAATAGTAGGCCCACACTGCACATCTGCACGTGAGTCTTTTTGTTCTTTACGTTGGAAAATAAGAAGTGCGTCATGTGTTTACAGTAGAGGAACTAAGGTCCCTAAAAGTTGAGTTGAGGTACCACAAAGCACAACCATGTTTTTTCATTACTTTAATATGTCTAGTTTATTAAACGGATTGTATACAAATATTTTACAGCAAAATGATTTGTTTTGGTTAATGTTTGGAACTTTCCCATAACCGAAAAATGTGCGCTCCTCTGAAGGGGGCCGTGTTGGCCTTATCTCATGTATCTCTGGAAATAATGATCAGAATTTTACCAAATTTGGCCTAGATGTTCACAGAGAGGTAAAGCATACAATAAAGCACAGATTATAGCAATACCTTTTACCTTCTTTGTAATATTAACACTTAAACAAACATAATTCATATGCAGAAATGGAATAGGACATTTAAAATGCAAAAGATATGTTTATGCTTTTCTGTCATTTTTAAACTAAAGAGTCCAATCACCCATGCGTTTCGGGTTCAAAAATGTGTTTGATATAGTTGTGTATGGCAGGATAACATGATGTAGTAATGTACTAACAACAACATGTTAACTTTTGGTTTCACATGAGGATAATTCATGTTTATTTGTCTGCATTATTTTGTGTTTTATTCTTTTTTTATTTTGAATGCATTATTTGTATTGTATTCCATACATGTAGGCTATATAACACACATACAAATACAAAGGACCCCAGTACATAGCCTACTCTATATAACGTATATCATTCATTTAAGATTTAATTTATCCAATCTAATAATTGAAAATGTTTATTTAAATCATGTGAACATATTATGCCAAGAAACCTGTTAGCTCATGGGATCACAGTATCTACAGTATCTACAGTATCTGGTATCTACAGTATCTACAGTATCTACAGTAATTACGGTATCTACAGTATCTACAGTATCTGGTATCTACAGTATCTACGGTATCTACAGTATCTACAGTATCTACAGTATTTACAGTATCTACAGTATCTACAGTATCTACAGTATCAACTGTTATTCAAAGATTATGTAAAATACAAACAAAAACTCTGTTTGGAATAGAAAAGTTTGATATATAAAGCATATATAATAATGATTATTCTTGTCACTTTGCTCAGCGCTACTGCTTGTTACAACTTGTATTCGCTGTACTCGCCATGAATTTATTGATCAGGTTAATCTCGACCCCCCTCCAATGTAAGCTTGAGGTATTTGGTTCTCTGATCTTGCCGGGTTGCCGAGTGGGGCCAGCTGAGAGAATAGACCAGACTCCTGCAAAGGTCAATTGTGTCTAGAGTGCGCCATCTAGTGGGATCAACTGAAATGCCGGGTATTGCAGGAAAAGGGCAAAATGAATGCGGTCTTTACTATAATTTGGACAATTTTGTACCAATATTCGGCGAATATGGCCCGCAGGGCTTAGTTTAATTCACTACATGTATTTAATACTTTTAGTTACTTTACAGATCTGGTAACTACTGTAGTTCTTTTTAAATCTGTATGTGGGGAATAAACATTGTTTGGAGATTTTAATGACTGAAGTTACTTTATTGTTCTCTCACAGGGACTCACTCTCTGAAGTATTTCGACACTGCGTCCTCTGGAGTCCCAAACTTCCCAGAGTTTGTTAGTGTTGGGTTGGTTGATGAAGTTCAGATGACTCACTACGACAGCAACACCAAGAGAGAAGAACCCAAACAGGACTGGATGAGCAGCATCACAGACGAGGATCCTCAGTACTGGGAGAGGAACACTCAGACCGCTCTGGGTGCCGAGCAGGTCAACAAAGTCAACATGGAAACTGTAAAGCAGCGCCTCAACCAAACTGGAGGTTAGTTCATGTTTCACCTTCTACTGATAATATGTTGTTCATATCTTCATCCTGTACACACACACACACACACACACACACACACACACACACACACACACACACACACACACACACACACACACACACACACACACACACACACACACACACACACACACACACACACACACACACACACACACACACACACACACACACACACACACACATACACACACACACACACACTACTTGTAGTGACTAAAGTTAATTAAATAAAGTCATTGAGAGAATAAACTCGGCTAACGACATGTTCAGGAAAAAGTTCTGTTTCATAATGATGTTGTTAGAAAAAGTGATTTATTTCTAATTAAAAAGACTGAATGAGGAAACTGGATAAATCTAAAGATATCCTCTCACACAATGTTTGATATCTGAGATCTGATGAAAGTCGTTCTAACGATGAAGGAACACCTGATTGATTCTCCCTGAGTGACATCAACACCATTTAGGATCATAAATATATACATCAGATATCAGCTGATTATAATGACCTCTCTCTCTCTCTCTCTCTCTCTCTCTCTCTCTCTCTCTCTCTCTCTCTCTCTCTCTCTTTCTCTCTCTCTCTCTCTCTCTCTCTCTGTCTCTCTCTCTCAGGTGTCCACATTAACCAGATCATGTACGGCTGTGATTGGGATGATGAGACTGATGAGGTCAAAGGTTATTCTAACCATGGTTTTGATGGAGAAGACTTCATAGTACTGGACCTGGAGACAGAGACATGGATCGCTCCAAGACGAGAGGCTGTCCTCACCAAACAGAGGTGGGATAATAACAAAGCTTATATGGCCCAGCAGAAGAGCTACTTCACCCAATGGTGTCCTGAGTATCTGAAGAAATATTTGAACCTTGGGAGGAGCTCTCTGATGAGAACAGGTAGAGTCACATGACCTGATGGAGTTTCATAAACACCTCCATGTTCATGTCTCCTGGGTTTCTGACCTTACAACACATGTCTCACTCTGTGTCTCACTCTGTGTCTCACTCTGTGTCTCACTCTGTGTCTCACTCTGTGTCTCACTCTGTGTCTCACTCTCTGTCTCACTGAGTCTCACTCTGTCTCACTCTCTGTCTCACTCTGTGTCTCACTCTGTGTCTCACTCTCTCTCTTACTCTGTGTCTCACTCTGTCTTTCACTCACTGTCTCACTCTGTGTCTCACCCTGTGTCTCACCCTGTGTCTCACCCTGTGTCTCACTCTGTGTCTCACTCTCTGTTTCACTCAGTGTCTCACTCTATGTCTCACTCTCTGTCTCACTCTATGTCTCACTCTGTGTCTCACTCTCTGTTTCACTCTGTGTCTCACTCTCTGTCTCACACTCTCTGTCTCGCTCTGTGTCTCACTCTGTCTCTCACTCTCTCTCTCACTCCCTGTCTCACTCTGTGTCTCACTCTCTCTCTCACTCCCTGTCTCTCTCTGTGTCACTCTCTGTCTCACTCTGTGTCTCACACTCTGTGTCTCACTCTGTGTCTCACACTGAGTCTCACTCTGTGTCTCACTCTGTCTCACACTCTGTGTCTCACTCTGTGTCTCACTCTCTGTCTCACACTCTCTGTCTCGCTCTGTGTCTCACTCTGTCTCTCACTCTCTCTCTCACTCCCTGTCTCACTCTGTGTCTCACTCTCTCTCACACTCTCTCTTTCACTCTCTCTCTCACTCCCTGTCTCTCTCTGTGTCACTCTCTGTCTCACTCTGTGTCTCACACTCTGTGTCTCACTCTCTGTCTCACTCTGTGTCTCACACTGAGTCTCACTCTGTGTCTCACTCTGTGTCTCACCCTGTGTCTCACTCTGAGTCTCACTCTGTGTCTCACTCTCTGTCTCACTCTGTGTCTCACACTCTGTGTCTCACACTGAGTCTCACTCTGTGTCTCACTGTGTCTCACTCTGTGTCTCTCTCTGTGTCTCACTCTCTGTCTCACTCTGTGTCTCACTCTCTGTTTCACTCAGTGTCTCACTCTATGTCTCACTCTCTGTCTCACTCTATGTCTCACTCTGTGTCTCACTCTCTGTTTCACTCTGTGTCTCACTCTGTGTCTCACTCTCTGTCTCACACTCTCTGTCTCGCTCTGTGTCTCACTCTGTCTCTCACTCTCTCTCTCACTCCCTGTCTCACTCTGTGTCTCACTCTCTCTCTCACACTCTCTCTTTCACTCTCTCTCTCACTCCCTGTCTCTCTCTGTGTCACTCTCTGTCTCACTCTGTGTCTCACACTCTGTGTCTCACTCTGTGTCTCACACTGAGTCTCACTCTGTGTCTCACTCTGTCTCACACTCTGTGTCTCACTCTGTGTCTCACTCTCTGTCTCACACTCTCTGTCTCGCTCTGTGTCTCACTCTGTCTCTCACTCTCTCTCTCACTCCCTGTCTCACTCTGTGTCTCACTCTCTCTCACACTCTCTCTTTCACTCTCTCTCTCACTCCCTGTCTCTCTCTGTGTCACTCTCTGTCTCACTCTGTGTCTCACACTCTGTGTCTCACTCTCTGTCTCACTCTGTGTCTCACACTGAGTCTCACTCTGTGTCTCACTCTGTGTCTCACCCTGTGTCTCACTCTGAGTCTCACTCTGTGTCTCACTCTCTGTCTCACTCTGTGTCTCACACTCTGTGTCTCACTCTCTGTCTCACTCTGTGTCTCACACTGAGTCTCACTCTGTGTCTCACTGTGTCTCACTCTGTGTCTCACCCTGTGTCTCACTCTGAGTCTCTCTCTGTGTCTCACTCTCTGTGTCTCACTCTCTGTCTCACTCTGTGTCTCACTCTGTGTCTCACTCTGTGTCTCACTCTGTGTCTCACTCTCTCTCTCACTCTTCTGCATCTCCTCTTTGCCTGACTAACACTGAACAGTCTCAGATTAGTGAAACATTGAACTCGTCTCCAAACAAAGGTGTTTTTATGGGACATGGAACAGAAGACACCATTTCATCTGGACCTGATGAAACAGGCGTAGTGTGTGCATCGTGTAGTCAATCTGAATGTGTTGGTGTGGAGCTGTCCGTGTTCCATCGTACGCAGCCTTTCTGTCTGCAATGGGTTTAAGACCAAAATACTCTTATTTAAAAAAACTGGAACTATAAAAAGTTTGGTTTATTTCTTTAATAAAGAACTTAAAGTGTTATTTTATAATCAGACGTGTTGGAACTAACTTTCTTCTGATCATCTATTCAGTGAATGGTGCTATAGCTCTACCCAGTGCAGGGGAGATACTCTCATCTGTTGCTCTGATACTTATCTTGGGATCAAACTTCATATTCGTGTCAGTATGGATTAAGTAATGACTAGTTTCAGATAAATAAATGAATTGTTTACACATTTAAGTCTAAGAGGAGATATTCAACGTGCTTCTTTAATCTGAACACTAAACAGTATTTGATATGAAATGATATCAAACAGAAGAAAGTCTTTATTTAACAATGTGACTGAAGCACTGACTCTGTGTTCTCCTGCAGTGATGCTCACAGTGCATCATAAGTCCCTGTAGTGATATCACTGAGTCAATAACCTCTGAAGTGTGTTTGTGCAGAGATCCCCTCAGTGTCTCTGCTCCAGAAGTCCCCCTCCTCTCCAGTCAGCTGCCACGCTACAGGTTTCTACCCGGACAGAGCCGCCATGTTCTGGACCAGAGACGGAGAGGAGCTTCACGACAACGTGGACCACGGAGAGATCCTGCCCAACCACGACGGATCCTTCCAGATGAGCGTGGACCTGGACGTCTCCTCATTCCCCGCTGAACACTGGGACAAGTACCGATGTGTGTTCCAGCTCTCTGGGGTGAAGGAGGACCACGTCATCGTACTGGACCCAGCTGTGATCAGGAGCAACAGAGGTAAGACTGCATCACAACGGCTCCACGGTTACTAACAGTCAGCAGACCCTGACAACATGTCATAGTGTCTCTCCCCTGAAACATGGGTCTCAGGAGAGAGACACTAAGAATGGTTCAAGACAAACCCAGCATGACACCACGAGGAGGAAGGGGCCCTTCAGGAGCCTCAGACCTGATGCCCATCCTGAAGAAGCTTCCTTCCTCCGTTCAGATTGAGACTTCCTGTTGTTTCTGCTCCTCAAGGAATCCCCTCCTCCTCCTCTTCATCATCGGTGCTGCAGTGTCTGCTCTCGCTCTCCTCATCGCTCTCCTCATCGCTGGGATTGGATTCCTGGTTTACAGGAAGAGGAACGGTGAGAGACCAATCAGAAACCTTGTCTCATGAGTTCTCAGGGTTGTTAATGTCAGGCTTTGAGGTAGCAGATCAGACTCAGAGCTCAGTGTGATGTTGATATGGAAAGCACTTGGTGTGTTCTCTCCAGGGATAATCAGTGTTAGTTCCTTGTTGTGTACGGGGCGCTGGATTGAAACTCTTTCTCTGCTTTTCCTTTCAGCCAATAAAAACAACTCCCTCTCCTGCCTCCAGCGCTGAGCTCACTGAGAGACTGAACCAGCCATCACAGTGAGGTGCTTCACATCAACTTTCCACCTGTTGTTACAGAGCTCTTTCTCTGCTCTCAAACCTCTCCAGCTGCAGCATTAGAGTTCAAACCCTTCTGCAGAGTGACCGCAGAAAGGCACGAATGCTTTCAGAAACACAAATATTAGAAAGATCAATGACATCAGTTCAATAAAATAGTGTGACACCAAATAGAAACATTCACCTGTACATCAGAAGCAGATCAAAGAACTGACTCAGGAATAGTTCAGGTCTGAATCAGGTAAACATGTTCTGTGTCTTTAGGTTTATGCATCAGGGGGCGCTGCCACCACGTTCTGAACTGTTCATTATTCATCATCTGATCAATCACTGATCATATTAGGGTTTGGAAATCAAGCAATAGCTCATTGATTGGAGAACAGAGGAATCATGTTATTTGGATCATTTGGGTTTCACATCAAAAGGTGGCTTTCCCTCTGATTATGGATTTCAATCTAATTCTAAGAGAAGCTAAACCTCTATGTGGTTTCTGGTAAAATAATCAATATTAAGTAACAGATTTTAATACGAGAGGCTGTCTAGCTCACAACTCATACTTTACAAACAATATCAGAATCTCACATGTACACCACCAGACTCTTTCCCACACAGTATCATACCGTCTTTAACGTACTGTCATTCATTTACTATCATACATAAATAACTATTCTCTCTCACACACAAAAACTAAATCTCTTAAACGCACCATCATACTCTCGTACACACACCACTATCGTCTTTCACAAACAACTACAATCTAATAGAACATTATAAAAGTGTATGTGAAAGAGGATAGTAGTATGTGTGTAATCGGTAAACAATGTATGTAAGACAGAATAATAACCTATATAAGAGGGAATAGTATTTCATGTTAATAACATCATATTGTGGAGTCTATTTTTATATAACATTACAAGAGGGATTCTTATTATTACATGATATGCTTATTGTGCTCATGAGATTGCTATGACTATAAAATAAATAGACACAATCACTAATCCCAGGTTCTGATGGGTTAGATACCAACGAGGGGAATAGTCAGAAGAAAGTTTTCAGCTTGCAATACTAATGTAGCAAGGTCAGGTGCAGACGCTGGAAGAATACAAAGAGTTATTCATAAACAGGACATCGCTTCGGGTGAGCTCCGCTCCCACACACAGCTAGGAAGCAGCCTTATGAAGATTCCATTTTTTCTGTAGAAATGTTAGCGAAAACAAATTATGTATGATGGTGCCAGAGTAGGGAGGGACTTCCACAGGCCGGCCGAATGCTGATTGGGAGGATCGTGTTGCCAAGAGACTTTTTTCAAAGTCTGTGCACCTACCAAAGAGAACCAAGTCTAAACCACGGTATCTCTTCAGCTAGTCTTGACCAATCATAAATGTACGGGCAACGCCCTGTGTAATAAAAATGTTAGCACACATGAGGTTCGGGGCTCTCTTCCGGAAATAGTGGTTACAGATTACAGCTTTGCTGCCTGTGATTTCTATGACGTGACGGAGCCCTTGGCCAAGTGAATATATATTTTGCTCTCTCATAATAAATAGTTAAACTTAGAAGTTGTTTGTCTTTCCTGGAATTTTGAACACAATAATATATGTAAAACAAAATAGCAGTGAATGAAAGGCCGAATAATAACTTATATAAGAGGTAATAATAGTTCATGTGAATGACTATAGGTATGTGTAAACAGAATGATAGGGTGTGTGCATAAGAATGGTTATGAGTGTGAGAGAGTATGATTGAAAAGGAAGTGAGTTTGATTGAAAAGGAAGTTCCTGATTGGCTCTACGTTTTTCGTTTGACGGACACCGCCCAAGAAAGGCAGTAGACTGCTACTAATTTTCCCTATGCAACCTGAAGAGTAAAAGGGTCAAGTCCGTCAGAAAGCAATGACTGTAGCCTAACCCCTCGATTCCACCGGGTCCGTCTGCGGCGCGTTACGGCAGCGCTGCGGTTTTGGTCTGGTCTCCTCCGGCGTCATACCCTATCGGGTGCATTTCAGAAGCGGAGCGTCTTGGGAGAACCCGACTTCTTCCACATGGCGCTGTTTTTTCGGGGCGTGCGGCTGCACGTCCAGGCTGCTCTAGCTTACGACGGCTAGCAGCTACCGATGGCTGCCAGCTAACGGCCACAGCTAACGGCTAGCTGCTAACGGCTATCGATCCTTTTTGAGCTTTTTCTGGTTCGCCAGTCGGAGAAAGCCGGGTCGCTGAGCCGCGACGGGCGTGAATAACCCGGCGGTCCTCAGCAGGAAGGAGCGCTGCCCAGCCGCAGGCGAGGGCACAGCGGCGACGGGCATGAAGTCCTCGGGAGGAAGGAGCCGGGTCCCCGGGGGGCAGGTGCAGCATTCCCGGGAGGAAGGAGCCGTGGACAGGGGAGAGGCCAGACGGGGCGCCGTCCGAAGCCGCTGTCGAGGCGAACCGTGAGCCGCGGTAAGAAGAGAGGCCAGGCAGGGTCCCGAAACGCGCCACCCACGGGCCGATGAAGGCATGGGCGACGTCCGAAACTGTCGAGGCAAGACGGGGTCCAGAAGCGCGCCACCCAGGCGCCGATGAAAGCGCGGGTGACGTCCGAAGCCGCCGTCGAGGTGGAGAAAAGGTGAGAGGGTCCACACGAGGCTGACCAGACATGGTCGAACCTCCTCTCAGGCACCAGTAAAAACTCAAAAAGGGTCGTACTGTCCACGGTCCAAAACAGGTAGGTGAAATTGTGAGATTGTCCACACGAGGTCAACCGGCTGGTCGAACCTCCTCTCAGGCACCAGGGAAAAGCTCAAAAGGGTCGATAGCCGTTAGCAACTAGCCGTTAGCCGCTAGCTGGCAGCCATCGGTAGCTGCTAGCCGTCGTTAGCTAGCGCAGCCTGGACGTGCAGTCGCACGTCCCGAAGAAACAGCCCCATGTGGAAGGAGTCGGGTTCTTCCCCACCCAGCAGGTCGTGCATCGTCTCAGTGCAGCCGGAAGGCTTGCCGTCCGCCAGTGCCGAGACGATGCGGGAATGGCGAGCGACGTCCTCAGCCATTCTGCGGGGGGCGCACCGAGCCTCAGTCCGCATGCCGTGGCAGCCACGGACGTTCCCAAAAATCCCCGGCATTTTTTTGCCGTGTTCGGGTCCGTCCCGGAAACTTCATGAGACGTTGTCAAGGTCACCAATGTAGTGCCGAGAGATAGGGAGTCGGCGGTGGTGCAATGGAGGTGCAAAAGTGAACTTTATTGCGGAGCAGAAATAGAGATGTTGTTGGGTCGCAGCCCGGGAAGAAAAGAGAAAGAAGCCAGGAGGGCATACAATATATATACACTGAACAAAAATATAAATGCAACACTTTTGTTTTTGCTCCCATTTTTCATGCGATGAACTCAAAGATCTAAAACATTTTCTATAAACACAAAATAACCATTTCTCTCAAATATTGTTCACAAATCTGAAAAAATCTGTGATAGTGAGCACTTCTCCTTTGCCGAGATAATCCATCCCACTCGCACAGGTGTGGCATATCAAGATGCTAATTAGACAGCAGGATTATATTGCACAGGTGTGCCTTAGGCTGGCCACAATAAAAGGCCACTCTGAAACGTGCATTTTTATCACACAGCACAATGCCACAGATGTCGCAAGTTTTGAGGGAGCGTGCAATTGGCATGCTGACAGCAGGAATGTCCACCAGAGCTGTTGCCCGTGAATTGAATGTTCATTTCTCTACCATAAGCCGTCTCCAAAGGCGTTTCAGAGAATTTGGCAGTACATCCAACCGGCCTCACAACCGCAGACCACGTGTAAAAACACCAGCCCAGGACCTCCAAATCCAGCATGTTCACCTCCAAGATCGTCTGAGACCAGCCACTCGGACAGCTGCTGCAACAATCGGTTTGCATAACCAAAGAATTTCTGCTGTCAGAAACCGTCTAGAAAATGTTTTAGATCTTTGAGTTCATCTCATGAAAAATGGGAGCAAAAACAAAAGTGTTGCGTTTATATTTTTGTTCAGTGTATATATATTATACTCTGTAATCTTAACTATATCTGATAGCTCAAGCCCTCCTTTCGTTAGTCTTCCTTTAAAACAACAGAGAGGATGAATGTCTTGATTATCAGAAAATAGTGCTGTTGAGTACATTTTAGGTTTCTCCGTTTACGTCCATGTGAAAGAGAAACATGATAGTAGTGTCCCTGTCCTTTAAACACCTGTTGTTCCCATAACCAGAAAAAGAGTGATGGTACTTTTCCCAATAAATCATGTCGCTAAGACTAGGCTCTTCACTTTGAAGCGTTCCTAAATCAAATCTGTGCAAAAGTTTATTGAACAAAATAACACAAACAATAACCAAAGCAGGACTATAGGGTCACCAGAAAAGAGCAAGTTCAGCCCGTTGGTCATCCACCACAACACGTTCTCACTCCCAACCCGTCACATGTTGACGGTCGGTCAGGGCCCCTCCCCGTCACACTATTATGCACAGGGTACCCCTTGAGAGTCAGTTTTCAACGGGCAGGGCGTCAACATGTGACGGGATGGGAGTGAGAACATGTTGTCCACCAACCCAGTCTCACAGTATTTCGTGTTATAGTCACAACATTTAATCTATTGATTCGTGTTCACCAACACGATTTCCCCCTTTTTTCGTTTGGGAGTACAGTCCCGTTGACAAACCCCGTGATTAATCTTCAAGCTCTGGGATTGGATGTTGGAGTGGCAGTGCGCCAAGGTTACGCCGAGCGTCAAACAGCTCTTTGAAATCGAACGAAACCACGGCAGACTATCCAAAACTGGATTCGAACAGGACCAGACCCCCCCCCCCCCCCCCCCCAGAACTACACATGCTGGCTATTGTGTTTCGCAACATGTTCTATTTATATATCCAGTCTATGGTTCTATGGCACGTCTCTTCTGGGAATTGTATTTTTAAAAGACGTTTTTCCCAAAGTTAGAAGCTGACAGTATTAAACTGTGTACAGCCCTGGAGGTTTAGGCGATAGGAAACAAATTGGTGTGTACAAATTTAAAACATGTAATTACTAAATGGGTGAACATCGCTTGTATCCATAATGGGCAACATTAATATATACCCACATGACAGCTCATTGTTACTTTGTAATTCTACTCCACTACAATTCAGAGGTTAACCTCCACTACATTTATTTTAGGTACTTTGCAGATTCTGATTAATGATGTGAAATATAAACAACCCTTAAAGCAGACTTTAGTTACACCTGAGTAAAATTCAGGGAAGGTGATTGTCAAATGCCAACAATCAGGAGAGATATTTGATAGTTGGTGCTTGAGAAGACATTTATCTGCAGATCCCTATAAAGTATATTAATTACTCGTTATTCTCTACTAATAGTTAATTAAAAACTGTAAATAATGGCTATTTTGCACATCCCTTTCAAGATTTCAAGATTTTCTAAAGTTTATTGACATCATATACACAACTAATTCAATAACGTGCTTTAACCACTAGGCGGTGCACACAAGGTACAAACAGCCATAATAACTTTGTATTATTAGTGTAGGACACTTGTCAATCAATCAATCAATGTTTATTTATATAGCCCAATATCACAAATGTTACATTTGTCTCAGTGGACTTTACAGTTTGTACAAAATATCAGTATGACAATACGACACCCTCTGTCCTTAGACCCTCACATCGTACAAGGAAAAACTTCCGGAGAAAACCCACAGTTTAAAGGGAAAAATGGGAGAAACCTCAGGGAGAGCAACAGAGGAGGGATCCCTCTCCCAGGACGGACAGACGTGCAATAGATGCCGTGTGTAAATTGAAAAGATAATACATTTGCAACATAGGTAGTCCAAATGTTTGGAAATGCATGTGTGTATAATAGGAAGATGAATCCACGAGGATATCCATCCAGGACCTATGATCCAGGACCACAGCCACGACTCAAGATCCAGGGCTCGCGATCCAGGACAGAGGAGCGCAGGATCATCCATGACTCCGGATCCCGGCGTATATAGACACCAAAAAGAAAGACATTTGGGGAAGCTGGGTTAATCGGAACATGAGAGTACACAGGTATAGACAGAGAGAAGGAAGAAGTAAGATGTCCCCCGACAAACTAAGCCTATATCAGCAAAACTAGGGGCTGGATCTAATCAGCCCTAACTATAAGCTTTATCAAAAAGGAAGGTCTTAAGCGCACTCTTAAAAATGGATAGGGTGTCTGCCGCCCGAACACAAACTGGAAGCTGATTCCACAAATGTGGAGCTTGATAAGAAAAGGCTCTGGCTCCCATTGTACTTTTAGAGACTCTAGGAACAACCAACAACCCTGCATTCTTGGAACGCAATGCCCTAGTAGGACAGTAGGGTATAATGAGTTATTTAAGGTAAGATGGCGCCTGCCCATTAAGGGCTTTGTAGGCGAGAAGAAGAATTTTAAATTCTATCCTGTGTTCTATAGGGAGCCAGTGTAAGGCAGCCAGAACAGGAGTAATGTGGTCCCTTTTCCTAACTCTGGTTAGTACACGAGCCGCAGCATTTTGAATCAGCTGAAGCGACTTGACTGACTTCTTGGTACACCCTGATAATAAAG